GTGTGTGGAGGTGGAGGGGCGGGCCTGGCGTTAGATACTGGCGCCGGTGCAGCGTCACCCTCGGGTGCAGGGGCCGGTGGCACCTTGCGAACGCTGCTTACCAAGTCTGTAAGCCGAGACACTGATTGTCGCCCAGGCAGGATGGTTGGACGGGCGATGGTGGAGGAATGCACGAGAACAGAGCAGAGACAGTGAGGAGGGGAACAGGAAGTAAGACATGAAGAAGCCCCTTCAGGAATCTGACATGTTTTCACATAAGATGATCATCAGCTATACATCAAAATAGTTCAGCTGCCGTTGTACTACATACTCCACCGTGGAGGGTTAGAGAAGGAGATGGAGGAGGATTCAGCGGTCAGACTGTTCTAGTTTTATATGGAAGTAGGACACTTGTTTTTCATTAAACCTTGAGTAATAATTAGCATTTTTATATGCTTATTAACAAAATGTCCACTTCAGCTATAAAGAACAATTTAAATTTTGCTCTGCAGTTACAATCATAACTAGAGAATTATAAACACGTTCAATTTGGGCCATTCTGTGCTGATGATACATTTCATTTATAGAAGAAACAAGTCACTCAGATCTTTATGCTTGACTGTTTTTCCTGCTTCCAACACATCAACTTTGAGGACTGAGTGTTTGCTTGCTGCCTAAAATACCCCCCACACTGACAGGTGCCGTTATAATGATATAATGAATGTTATTCACTTCACCTGTTAGTGGTCATAATGTTATGGCTGATGGGTGTAAATCCACAAGTACAAGTAAATATGTACTTTCATTTAAAACAAAAAGGCTCAGTAATTTCCTAGTGCATTTTAGAAGGGGTGCAGGATGGTGTATTCATTGTTGGCTTTGCTCTTGTCAAACTTTTTTTTTATAATAACAAAAATACAGAACGCAATTATATCCTTAAGAGTATTTTTTGCCTAAAAACTGATCATAATATATTTTGAATTTGCAGTTGGACGTGGTTTAGTACCACTTTTAGTTCCTCCTTTGATTTTGGTCTTTTTAAAAACTCTGCAAATATCTTGAAGGGATTTCTAAGGATGCAGAAATAACACATGGGCAGCCAGAAGTCGTCACTACACAAGGCACAGTGAGATCTACAGTATGTACAGATTAGAAATAAGCTTACATTTCTTCCTTTCTCAAATGACAAGAATAAAATGGGTCCATGTTTTCAGGGAGATGGCAGGTACTGTTTTGGTCGTCTACTCCTTTCTACTTACTCTGCATGGGGACGGCGGGAGTATGTGGAGGGGAGGGGGCAGAGAGGGCAGTGGGAGGCGGGGTGCTGGATCGCCGTTCCCCTTCAGATGTGGGCCCTGAGACCTTACGGACTGAACCCAGCAGGTCAGCAAACCTTGTGGCGGCTGAGTTTAGGAGGAAGGAAGGGACATGAACACAGTTCATTTAAATGGAGGGTTGACCACATCATTGTGGCCACTCAGATGAACAAAGCAGCAGTGAGACACCCAGCTAAATGTGGAAAAAGGGGAGACTGATCAAACATTTATTGTAACATCGTGGTATTGGCTGCATCATAGGGCTCTGCAGGACAAAGTCTGACTCAGAAAATGACAGAGAAGGAGAGAAAACTCATGCTTAGACATGTCAGAAGAACAATGAGAAGAGTGTGGTGAGCAGGACTGTGCTGCTATTCCACTTACATCCATGAGAGGGAGACAATTAGTTTCTCTGAACGCACGTGGCGTAGGAGCAACAGAGGGGAGGATGGGACAGAGGATTAGGAATACTACACAACATCTCAGAACAGCTTGTTTTTCACTCTTATCTTGCTGGTAGATGTCAAAATGATGCTGACTAAGAATCAGTCTGGGTACTTCAGCGATTTCAAGGTGTTAAATGGCAGCAGATGTATGCTTTTAATATATGCAGGGACAGAATTTAGTCAAGGTGAACTGCTAGTAGAGCCTATAGATGTGTGCAGGCTTACAGTGCAAAGCAGCTGAGGAGCCCTGGAAGCCTGTGCTAGACTGTGCCTTGAGCCAGCTGTGTAAGATCTTCCCTGATAACATGCACACACAGAATGATACCAAACAAACACATTTGCAAAGAGAGCTGACAAGCAGCCACACATATTGCACACAAGAACACAGAGATGTCACCCTAAGGAGTGATGGGAGGGGCTGATAAACACAGGATGAGAAAGCCAGTCAGCTTTTTCTCGCACTGAGAAATTACAGCTACTTTTCACTGACAGTCCCCTCTCACCAGATCTCACTGGAAAAAAAAAGCATTTTACTGGTTATCTCAGTTAATGACTCCATTTCAGTAGGATTTAGAACTGTGGCTGCTGCTGCATGTGAGGTTTTACTCAGACTTTAATGGGAGTCTTGCCAGTGAGCAAAGGATGGATGATGACAACGGTGATGGCCATGATAATGAGACAGAGCTGGATGTTACTCATTAGCACTCGTCTGTTTAATCAGCTGGCACAGAGGCAAGCGCAAGACTATCTGACAAACAGAGGGAGAGAAAACATCCCAGCAGACGGCACAAGACTGGTGGGAGAGAAAAGAGGGAAGGAGGAATTTCCTGCCATGGTGCCACATGACTGGAGCTATGACTGCACCCTCTCAAACATCAGCAAATAAAATTCACAGGCTCTTAAATAATCGATAAATGTCAATTTTCCTTCTCTCAGGAGAAAAGCAAAGTGGCACAAACAGAAACCAAACAACAGGAGATCCAAGGACAAAAAGACGTCACAATATAACACATACTGTTTAACTGACAAGTCAAGTGAGAAACATCCCAGCAATTAGCATTTAATTTTGCACATCACAAAAAGTAAACTTCAAGATTAGCAATTTCACATCCAGTAATCCTATAAATGGTGTTAAAAAATGATCAGCTATACAACGAACTCTAGATTAACGACACAACAACCAGCCCTCAGAAAACTGCCTGTAACATATTCTCTACTATAAATGTCTTGAGAGTAACGGAACAGTTATGTATCCAGATGCTCCAAAAGTCAGCACAGGTGCCGGGTTACAGAGCAGCTGTCGAGCACTCACTGACCTGTCAAGATCCCACAAAGGCCAACATGACAAAAACGGTTCCAAACAGCACGAGTGTGCTTCCTCCTGCACTCACCTGGCTCTTGTAGCTCTCTCTGGCGCTAACTGTGCTATCTGATGTTTTTTGTATCTTAAGAATCTTAAGACTCCTGTGCGAGGCTAATGCTATCCAAGGGTGGCGCTAGCAGAGTGGAGTGTCTTTAACGCCTCTCTGGGCATGCTGTCTCCATTTCCTGCCACCAGGGCTAAATTTAGACGCCTCCCCCTTTAGCCCCGACCCCCCTCCCAAGGTGCCCTTGCCCTGTTCACTCTTGTCATAGGGGTGGGGTGGTGGAGCTCCAATTTGGGATGCTGGAAAGGAAAGGAAATGGGTAAGGAGATGATAAAGTTCACTGTGTGTACAGTATGGTGCAAAAGTGTTAGGTCACCATTAGATTTATTGTGTTAGCAGTGTTATGATGGAGCTATTTATTTATCAGAATACAACTAGAAAATATAGGAAATATGTGAATAGCATTAAAACAAAAAAATATCAAAGAATCAGCAAACAAACTGGATACCCAAGGTGTCCTAAAAAATATGAAAAATCTGATAAGAAGTTGCTTCTGTGAGAGACTGGAAGAAACCCAGCGAGGACCTGGTTCAGCATCTGGCAGCTTCATCTAGATGCCAAGTTGATCCCTCCACAGTCTGAAGAAGCCTGATCAGGAACGGCTTTTGTGGAAGGACAGCAGCCAAGAAACCACTTAATCAGAAGGGGACGGGGGAAAAGGCTGGGACATGCAAAAGCTCACAAAGACTGGGGTGAAGATCAGTGGAAAAGAGGATTATGGAGCTATGAACCGAAGTTTGAAATGTTCGGGTCAAATCATCACCGGTATGTGAGAAGAAGAGTCGAAGAGTCGGAGAGAGGTGAAAGAATGAGCATAGCAGCCTTCATGGAAACATCGTGGAGGGTCTGTCAGGGTTTCAAGACTTCAGAACGGTTTCCCCAAAAGAATTCAAGCTGTGCTTAGTGTACAAGGAGGTCACACTAAACACTGGCACTGGACTGTAGAAGCCAAAGTATTTTAATACCGTACATATTTCCTGTATTTTCTGGTTATATCTTAATAGAGACTGAGAAATACACACTATAAATTATCATTACCACCTTGCTAAAACAGCTAAACTAATGGTGCCCTAAGACCTTTGCACAGTCCTGGATGAGGACATTGCAGTATGGTGCAGTAGAGCCTGGAGGCAGAAAGGATGTTCAGGTGATGTAATACTCCTGCAGGCTACTCCATGTCCATCAACAATAGTTTTGATAATTAATTTTTAATGTGCAACCAGGTGAACTTTCATACATCTGATACATTGACATTTTCTGACAGATCTCCCGTTAGCTGTGATGGAATGATGATACCGTATTGTCAATAATATGGTGTTTCACAGTTAGTTAGTGCATATCATAAAAAAAGTGAGCAAAAATGAATAAGAAAGTAGTGCTAAACAAACATGGCATTGGAAACATTTTGTGAAATCTGTTCTTCTGCCTGGAACATTTAAGAAATGTTCTACGCTGACAGGCAGCACTTAACGTTCAGGTATCTCATTTCTTGCCTAGTCATTATACTGTGTTACTGATGCCAAGAGTGAACACAGAGATAATCTGATTCACTGTGTGCTTTGTTTTTCTCAAACTGTCATTTTTACTGTAAGTATTGGAAAATAAAAAACTGTCAACCAGAGAATATAAGAAATCTTTCACTATCTTCACATTTTTCAAATACGAGTAAACTCTATGGTTTGAACTCCGTCCACGCAGGCTTTTAGTTCTTCATTCAGAAAAGTGCCTCCGATACTTTTACTCAAGGCACATTTTAAAGGTATTTTATTTTCATTTAAAGAGATTTGAAAACAAATTTTTCAATATGAATACTTCTACTTGAGTACTACTTGATAATTGTATTAGTTTTTGCAGCACTGGATCATTTACAGACCTACATGATGGCTCTGTCATGGTTGCTAGGGAATTTGTGACACACCAGCAAACCCTCTATAGGGAGGAGGAGGAGGAGGAGGAGATGGAAGCGCACGTTCTGTTCTGTATGCTCGCTGCAGAAATGATGCATTCATGATCCGATTTAGATGCACTGTGCTCAGCTCTGATGTGGAGAAACAGGGGTGTTTGTTACTGAAGACAGAGGCGAAACACGTGCATTCATCCGCAGAAACACACAGTCGAATCCTCACAACACACAAATATAAATTCAGTCACACACAGTGTATAAAAGCAGGCTATACATAAAAGCCCTTTGTGAAGTTATTTGCTGATATGTACAATACTCCCTGCATAGGCAGAAATTTCACAGTTCCAGCCACAAGCAACATATACACACTCGCACAACGAAGCACATCACTCTGCAAGTTCACACCCTACACAGGCACGCCGGTATTTTAGAGGTGTGTTTCTCCGTATTAAGATTTCAGCCAAACACCAACACTTTAGAGAAAGCCAAACCGCAACACCATTGCAAGGCCGCTTACATTTCACAGCCCCCCTCCGCCTCACACACAAACACACAATCATCACATCAGCCTTTTCTGAAAAACCAACAGAAGGCAGCAGTACAGCCAGGCTCCTTAAGGGGTCAGTAAGAGGTCAGCTATCAGCCGGTCGACCGCCTGCTGGCTAAAGTAGAGTCACATTCACACCACACATGAAGCGTCGGCGTAACTCTAGACATTTAGGACGTGATGCTGTGACTAAAAGATCTGTTTGCGGTGTTTACACATTAATGGAATTGTAAAAAAATAACAGCATTAAGCCAGATTTTCTTCTACTTCACATCTGTAAGCTTTTAAAATGGTCAAAAATCCCAATGACACAAATGCCCACTCTTACTTACAAAGCGCATGTCAGAGAGAAAAATAAATCCTCAAATAAGCCAGTACAAAGTCAGTCACACAGAGTTTTTCAGTAGCTGGAGTAAGAATGCTATTCCACTGCTGTCTAATAAACAAGAAGCTGCAAAGCAGAGCACCAGATGCCAAGTTTAATAAACTTTTAGGACTTTGCGTCTGCTCTTAGGAGTGTCTAACTGCAATTTCTAAGCTTTTCAAAATTACAGAAACTGCCCAATTTCATAAAGACAGAGTCATTAAGACACAAAGAAGAGCTTTCATTGCAAGGGCAATACAAGAATCCATTTCCCCATTGTTGGTGTAAAAGCAGAGCTTGTCAAAATCCACCATTATAAAGCTGGAAACATAAGTGCAGCTGAAAGGCAGATCATCAGACCACTAGTTTGTTTGTGTGCCTTATCTTCTTATTGACATACGTTTGTTTTTAATGCTTCTACTGTTTCAAAAACTACTCACCTGTCTTGTGATGTTGATGACAAAAGGTGTAACAGTGCACTAACAGCAAATTCAATGACATCAATACAGTAAAAATGTCAAGTGATAGTCTAAAATTTGGCAAGTTCCCAGAAGAATTCTGGCTTTTATTTGTCACTTGACTGAGCTGTGATTGTTTTTCACAGTCCTACCTTTCACATCTTCATCCTCCACCGTGGTGTTGCTGCTGTCTGATGATTCCTAGAGGTCAGAGGTAGACGGTCAGTTCAGGTTTGCACAAAATGGTGCACACATTTGTGCTGCATACATATGAAGACACATCACAAGAGCGATGAACAGACTTGATTTACACAGTCACAACACAGGCCGGAAGTGGAGCATTTTCCACATTGTGTCATAAAACCACAACTGAAATGTTTCAAGACCAAACAAGGGCAAAATCTCATTTTTGTCCAATGCTGTTAATGTGTTAGTCACAACCATCTAGCCTTTGACGATACCAAGTCAAACCATGCCACCAAACCATCAAGCTCAGTAGCCCAGTATGTCGCCTTGTTAACCATCATCAGTGTTTGAGTTTTTTTTTTTGTTATCCTTTGCCTGAAACCTCTTTTCTTCTACTGCAGGCAAAGCTCCCAATGCTTCATCCTCAGTGTGTGCATGTCAACATGTGGACCGATGACGTCTCTCCTCCAAAGGGTGCTCGTCTCTCGCCGAAACTATCAGAGACTCAATGGGATATGTTCTATTCATCTAGTTCAACAATAAAAGAGCAGAATGGATTCTCGCAGGGCGCTTAGTTGTCATCTTATCGTGGTGTAATCTATCCATCTACCGTCCATCTGTCTCTTCACAGGCTTTCGCCACAGCAGAAGTTAGAATCTGATTTCTAATTAGCAGAATAAGTGGGCCTAAATTCCCCTGCATATAGAGGAGAGCTGTGAGACTTGGTGCCCTCATTAGAGGTACACACGTGTACAAGCAGCATCACAAGCACAAAACTAGTTTCATGGCCTTTTAAAGAGCAGCTGGTGACCAGAGGAATATAGAGGGAAAGGTGTGTGTGTGTGTGTGACTGAGAGAGAGAGATAGGGAATTATGGGAAGTATCTCTGAATAACAGACTTTCATTACAAGTGTGATTACGCCTACAGTTTGTTTTCTTCGGTACGAATAAGAGAAAACCTTTCTTTGTAACATTTTACATCTTATTCATTGTGCTCCAGCCTACCACATTACAAACCAGCTAGGGATTGTAAGACCTACGTAACTATGATTCACGTGCGCTGTGCTGACACGTACCTACTCAGGTGTTTCTACCACGCTCACTTCTCAGCCCATATATCAGAGCTCATTGTACCAGCCAGCTGACGTCATATGTTCAGATTTGTTTACTTGTACCAAATAAGGTCATTGTGACATCCTTACAGTTCAAAATGGATTGTTCTTACCTGTCCAGTTAGACTGAACAAATGTACGGGCACGTCTGAGGTCAGTTAAACTGCTTTAAACAGGCCTGGTGTGACTACACGCACTGCACTGAAGCTCTGCTCTTTCCTTCAGCATCTTCCTGTGTAGCAGCTGCTGTAAACAATTCATGGCCATGCACTTTACTCTGAGGTCTGACCTAAAATCGAATGCAGACTGTGACCTTTGCCCTTTAGCTGTGTGTGCATCACAACTCAGCAAAGACAACTTGAACCAACACAAGCACGAGTACAATAAATGCTTGGTCATATCTGTGAAGGTCATGCAAGGTCAGGCACAATCTCTACACACACGCAGACAGACACACACACACACACACACACACACACACAGAGTGGCACCAACTGTAACAAATGTGACAGGGCAGAAATATATGTCCAAAAAATCAATGACAATAATTACACAATAAAATAACAACCATTATAACTCAGCTCACCGACATTTACAAAAATGTGTAAATTCTATTATTTAGTAAAATACATCAAATGATCAGTATTACTGATGACTGTGCTGCACAAGGTGCAGAACAAAGTCATGGTCAGGAAGAAGCACGTGACTGGATGATACTGGGTGTTGTAATACTTTAAGGGAAAGCTCTCAAAGACTTACAAAGACCTTTACTGAAATCTGACATGAACAAAATGTAGTTTAAGTTCTAATATATGATCTACACATTGGAGTCTTTGCTGTGATGTTACCACTTGGTCTCTGTCTGAATTATCTCATTATATATCGTTGGAAGCAACATTCACCGTCCCATCCACACTTTGCTGTCTTCATAAGGAGATGTCTTTTATCTGGGGTGAATTCCAGAAAGCAGGTTTAGTGAAAACTGAGCTCATTAACTTTGAGTAGAGGAAAGATGAGTTTTATGTTGGTCATCAGGTCACTCTGGGTCTGTGGTATCTTTGTGCAGCTACCCTGGTCACTGGCAGGTTTTATTCCACAAACCCTGAGTTTCTCTCTGTGTCCTCCCATCCTGTCGAGGCTGAAGAAGTGGTTGGACACACCGTTTCATTTAGTCATTCATACAGACCATAACAAAGACCATGTTCTGTCCCTCAGTGTCTGGGTCAGCCTACATAGTTACAGTCAATCCACAAATAAACGTGTGTATTATCTGTTAGACTTCATCTTCTGCTACCACCAGCACTTCACCCCCATCAGGTCACAGTTAAATAAATAAAATGTAAAATGGAGGCTCATCTTTATTTACCAGTCGCCATGGTGAATCACAGTGTTGGACCTTAACTGTTAATGTTTTTCCCCAGGTTTCTACGCACGCGGTTAACTCTGAGTGAACCTACTCCGAGTCGACTGAACTGACTCTAATCGGCTGCTCTGGGATAAAAAACTAAACGTGCCTTCTGGAATTGGGCCCTGAGGAGTTTAATCACACGAGACACACACACACACACACACACACACACGCACACACACACACACACACACACACACACACACACGGGCAGGAGAAGATGAGGAAGAGGAGGAGAATGACAAAGAAAGATAAAGAGCGGGTCAGGACTGGGAAATGTGTACCTTCGTCCCGTCCACTGGATTATGGATGACAGTTGTCTGAGGTTCCTGGAGGAAGAGGAGGAGAAGGAGCAGGGGAAATGGAGGAACATGAGATAAACAAGAGAAAGGAGAGAAAAGGGGGGAGAGAGAGAGGGAGGGAAGGAGAGAGAGATTTTGGCATAAAAGTGGAGCGAGATGGTCAAAGTGTGTAAAATGGACAGAAAGAAAGGAAGAGAGTGACGCTGGATGAAGAGAATGCACTTGTTAAGGGTGACAAAGGAGAGAGGGAAGAATCCTCCAGGGTGATAGAGAAGAGCTGAAAACTGTGATTCGGAGTCAGTTCTGTTTCTCTGCACATGCACAGAGCAACACGCACCAGACACAGACAGAACTGACACGCGGGGTGAAGCGTCTTCAATAAGCACATCAGTATGCACACACACTATTCACACAGACACAGTGATCACAGCATAAAGCTGCACACAAAACATGGAGAGCGTTTACTCCTGTGCACACTGCTGTGCATCATGGTTCTAAACTGTCCCCAGTGTCCTACATAATGCAGGCATGTACAGAATCAAGAAAACAGTAAAAAGAAAGGGACAAATAAGTGAAGAGAAAAGAAATGAAACGTACTCTGCCACGAACAAACACAAGCCTCAACATCATACAAGGTGCACACAGGAAACAGACGGCCGACGCCCCACAAGATGAAAACGGGTCATTCTGTTCCTTCACACTCATCTCAACAGAAAAGATGAGCGGTGCCGAACCAGATCCTGGCGTGATTTCAGGAACTGGTTCTAAAAGAAATTCAGTCTGAAAAGGCTGTTGTTTGTCAGGACTGCGTGCACAAACCTGGCTGCCTTTTACCTGCCGCCAACCCCGTCTTAACTTTCTGGTTGCTAAAACTAATCCAGCACTTCCACTCAGAGCACAGCAAGCTCCAGAAAAGAGCGTTTTCCTTCTTGCATCTTACTATATAATGTTTTCTGCTCTGATTTCATTATGTTTTTTGCAATTTAGTGGCTCCTTTCAACCTCTGGTATTTGATTTGTGTGGCTTACAAACTCCACCGTCCCACACACTGTCTGGCCTACGCTGACTAGTTCAGCGAGTTTTGGTCGACACCACTGTGGACTCATTAAACTATACAGTCTAAGACAGTGTGCAGGTTTTTAAACTTGTTACACTTTGCTGTCTTTCTCCAGCGGACCTGTCACACAATCAGGTGTGCAGAGTTTTGTTAGCTTTTTCACGGTGTTGCCTTCTTGCCGTCCTACAAAGCACACACTGATTGCTCATGATGCAGTGAGGCAGGTTTTCTCTCGTCTCTGCTAGAACCTGCCACTTCATGTACGGTGGAACAGAACCCACCACTACCACACATATTCTCTGCAGCCCTCCAGGAAGTGACACCTCTGTGATGTGATGACCAATCATCAGTTGTCTCCCTGGTGATGATGGTGGTGTTGTCAGGGCAACCGTCGCCCGGGGCAACAGGCACCGACGGCAACTTGGGAGACGATGATGAGTGAGAACAAAGTACCTGAGGTGTGTAGATCAGAGGGAGGGGGTGAGTGCTGATGCCGTCATAACATCAGAAGGGGGGCACACAAATGCTGACCTTACATGAACGGTGCCGTTGTTCCACAGATGTTCTAGTAGCACAACTAGGTTAAATTTCCTTTAGCCGAGATGTGACGAATAGAACCATAACACAGTCCATTCATATGTGCATATTAAGTCTCCTATCACCGTGCCAAACTGCTTCCAGGGCAGAAAATTAAGGTCAAGTAAGTGAAGGCAGTCTCTCTGCGGCCTGGTAGCTCTGTAATGAAGGAGTTAATGTACCAAATGGCTAAACAGTAACTAGCTCAAATCCCTGGCAACAGCACTGAGATCACAGCCACCCTCCCACTCTGTTCCCTTCAAGGATCAGAAAAAAAGCCTCTTGTGCTCCATGGTTGCGCCCATACTTACACACACCCTCTCAGGCACAGAAATGCAAAGTTCCCATCAAATGTTTCCGAAAGCATGTTCGCACAAGTGCTGAGTGGACTGATGCTAACGCTAACATCACACGCATACACAACTGCATCCGTTGCGCCACCACTCATTTAGCTTTTTCTCTTGCTTAAAGCAGGCGCCTAGTTCTGAACGCTGTGTCAGGCTGAAGCCAGGCTACTGCTAGCACACACCATCAGGTAATACCCAAAACAGCAGGATAACCAGTGGATTACCTCAGGTAATGGCTCACTGACCAGCCTCACAATCCACTTACCTAAATGTCACTGAAAGTCTGTGGGAAGATTTCACAAATATAACATAACAGCCTACAGTATCTCAGAACCTTTGGAGATATGCAAGGGAGAGTAGGCGAAAATGTCTAAATCAAGAATAGAAAGACACGTCGCTGGCCACAAAAAGTATGTACAAGTTGTGATACTGAATGGAGCTGACCAAGTACTGACTGACTGAAATGGAAATAACAGTATTAACATTTGAAGAAAGGCTTTCTGTAGCTGGAGAACCGCCTAGAGGTGCTCAGACTTTTTCACCACACCGTACACACTTTCACTACATGCTTAGATGGAACTCTGTATAGCTGGTGTGATGAAGCTATATTTAGTGTGCAGAAGTGCCAAAGAGCAGAGCCAAACTTGGCCAAGTCCTCAGCTGTGTTTCATGTCTAAGTTGGTGAGATCATTAGCGTGTCATCTAGGACCCGCTTCCCAGTGATTTATGATTGAGCCTGGCCTGGGTATATAAATGTCATGATATACTGTGCTGCTCCGGCTTAATAATGTGCAGAAACATGCTCCTACACTTTGGCAAATAACAGAACAGCTCACTACCAGAGGACAAATGTTTCCTGATTAAAAAAAAAAAGAGTAAGCTACAAGCATGAGCTTGTTTTTATTTATCCACTTTTAACACTTTCCAGAAGCAGTTATGTAATGGCCCTGATTTCAAATAAACCCTTCAGTTACATTTCGCAACCTTATACAATTTGTTTATTAAAAACAAAAATGATATCTATCAGCATTAAACTGTTCATCTAAATTAGTGCTGAAATGACACAGAGCCGCCTGCAGGAGTGTGAGAGGCAGCTTGGCAAAAAGAAAAGAGCACATGCTATGAAACTGTCACCTCCAGTAGCGCTTCACCCTGAATGATTAGCAGAGCAATCACCCCGTGTCTTCACGAAAAACAGAGCGAGGATGCAGATTTTCACTGTTGTCAATCAAAGGTCTAGAAAATCTGAAGTCTCAGTGGTGATTAATGGTGACCACGGTGAATGATAAGGAATGATAAAAGTCCAACAGCTACAAGCATCCAGTGATGTCTGCAGACTATACATGATTTAGATGCTTGCACCTTAAACAGCTGACCTACAGGTATTTCACCATACAAGTGCTTTTACAAGTTTATCCTGCCCTGGGGTGGAAATGCAACTGCAGCCAGCGGGTGAAGAACTGTTCAGCTTGTTTAAGTTAAGTAAAAAGTATCAGTACAACAATGTAAAAATACTCAATTACAAGTCCTGCATTCAAAATGTTAAGTAAAAGTACAAAAGTATTAGCATCAATTTAACCTTAAAGTACGTAAAGTAAAAGTCCTCATTATGGTTAATGGTACAGTTCACATTAACTTATGTCCTATTATTGGATTACAATCATCGATTTGTTATTGTGTACATCACATTTAATGTCGCAGATGGTAAAGTCTTATGATTCTACTCTATTTTGTTTAATAAACCTCATTCTGAAAAGTAACTAATAACTAAAGTTACCAAATCAATGTAGTGAGTAAAAACATACACACTGTTTCTCTGAAATGTGAAATACCTCAAAATTGTACTTGAGCTTGAGTAAATGTACTCAGTTACTTTCTGGCTACAGCACTGGCGACCAACTGCTGTCTGAAGGTGGGGCAACAAAAAAAATGTAATCTATAATGTGCTTTGTAAAATGGTCAGAATTAATGTAAAACCTACACATTTGTTCAGGTACAATTTGAAACACACCAGTTTGGTCCGTGAACAGAGGTGTGTTTGTCTAACAGATTCATATATGACAGGGGGAACTTTAACTGCTGCATTACACACAGATAAATGTAAATGTCATGTCATACAGAATAAATTCACTCAGTGAACACAAATAACTCAGAAATCTCCCCTGGTGGCCTGATACTAAGTAACATTTCTGCACCACTCTCACCTCCACTAAATTCTCACAGATTCCCTCTACAAAAGCAGTTTGCGACCATGTGCCGGAACTCATGCAGGTTTTCACTCCAGCCAATTTCACTGATTTCCACACAGATAACAGAAAAGGAGGAATTCATCTTTGAAATCGGTGGGTGTTCTGGGACAATCTGCAGACCTTTGGACTCTGCTCAGGCAGCGGGGAACCGACTCTCTACAGGGGCATAAATAGAAAGGAGGCGAATCACACTGACAGGCCCAGCAGGCACTGGCTGTCTGTTCGTCTTTGGCAAACTTTCAGCGGCAGAGAAAATGACATGGCAGCACAATATCAACCCCAGTGCAAGTCATATAGCATCTCCACCTGTCTGGGAATGTTTCCTGACATGGCAACGCAGAAATCAACCACAACCGACAGATGGAGAGGAAAAACAGACAAAGGTGAAGGAAGAGGGCAGCGGGGTAGGGCGGTGTGACTGACACACACACACACACACACACACACACCGGGGGGGGGGATTGAGAGGTAAATACCAGAGCAGGTGAAGGGATGTTTCCTTTGGGACTGGTGACTATGCTGTTTTTGGTGCTGTTTGTCTGGGGCTGTGCAGGAAAGGAGAAGAAAGGGAGGAGACAACAGGAGTGTTAACAACAGTAAGACCTAGATTTCTGAGAGTGAGTCCATGCATGTGCGCATGTACATTGTCGGTAAATGTGTGTTTTTAGGACCTATCCTTGCATTCCTACTCTTTGGTGACTGGTCTTTTCAGGTAGAATGAGAAACTGAATTTTAAAAGAGGATTCATTTAGGTTTATGATGCCTCGATTTTGACACATCTGTCTCTGGAGATTCCCCCACCACCAAATACAATGGGGATTAAAGGTTTGTGCTGCTTAAAGTCATAAAAACTATATTGTCCTATATACTATACTGTCCACATGGTTAGGTACCACTAGAGGTGGGAAGGGAAATGTTTTGCTTATTTTTTGCAATTTGAGTAAACCAAACCTTTAATGAACTGCAGATTTGGGGTCTGGCTTAGGTTAAAGGCTATAATATGAATTAGCAATATAGTCTGTAATGAAAAATATCAAATTAAGAGATGGGAAATAATGGTTAAACAGGAATTAAATGTTCTCTCATGCACAGTAAGATAAACATAAGGGTGTCCCATGTCTCCCATAAGATCGTTCCTTTGTCCTCGGTCAACCCAGAACGTCTCTTATATTGGCTCTGAAGACCGAGGACAGAGAAGACTGCCAGGGAAGCCATGACTGAGGATACGTAAGATCATTCTTTGCAGAGGTTTTTTGTGAATTGACACACCCTTTTATCAGAAATCAGTTGGTAATTGGATGCTTCAGATGAAGGACTGGAGGAAAGGACGTCTCATGTCGTTAATGCGTTTCTTCGAGCCCTCCCTCCAAAGTGCAGTGAAAAGATAAAAAACTAAATCAAATCCATTTTCAGCGTGTTCATACTTTGCCTTTAACACAGCACCAGTTCTCCCTGGTACACTTGCATGATTTTGACTTTATTTCTGGGGCTGTTGTCTTTCTGCTCAATTTATCAGGGACTGATCAGACACGTCCTTGACGGTACTGTGTGATGCAATGCCCAGGACTGTATGTCTGAATGTCTGAGTGTGGAGTCCAGGCAGGTGGCAGCAGGAAAAGGGCTATCTAAAACATTTATTCATAAGACTGGTTGGCAATCATGAGAGGTGACATGAGGGGGGCGGGTGACACTATGTGACATCATGATGCTGTCACTGATGACTTCTGCTGCTTTAAATTTCACTCTGGAACGATTCAGCGGTGCCATTTGGCTGTAATGAATCACCTTTATAAGCCTCCATTAAATGCTTATTTGAAGACCTCGCATCAGAGAGCGGTCGGTCCTTTAGAGTTTATTTCAATCACAATGACATTTCCATTGAATCTACATTGCTTTATTTGTATTCTGGTTTGTAAAAATATTAAGTTGAAGCTGCTAAATCTGGCAGAATGCTGGTTGTGGAAGTGAATCACCGGAGTGACTCAGTCTAAAAAATCAGTTGCCATTGCATAAATCTGCATCATGTAACAGTAATAAATCTAAGCCATTCCTACCAGTCAGTGACGGAGGTCAAGACACGTCACGGATTATTTACTGCCCCATTGGGGGACAAGGTCTACCTAGCTCTGATGCTAATCGAGACACAAAATAAGCATTTCCACCTGAAATTATAAAAAAGGAAGCTTTAAGCAGCACAAACTAAATTAAAAGTGTTTTACAACTGACTTGCATCACAGTCAGGCGGTGCTGGTGTTGCACACTGAATTGGTACAGTAGCTGTTTCACAGGAAGTCAGACAGGGTGTGTGTATATGTTCACCAAAATATGGATTCTGTAAGCCAGGGGCTGACTCACGAGGAGAGGAAACGAGAAGAAGAGTTTATACATCAGCACAGTAAAGACAAAGTAAAGTAAAGACACAGCACAATGCATGCACATAAAACGGCCATGAAAATAAAAGCTGGTATAAACTGACAATAAACCAACATACATAGACATTTCTCACACACACACACACACACACACACACACACACACACACCGACACTCGCACACGTAATGAACCAACCAAAGCCTTTGTCAGCCATCACTCCTCTGCCTCTGTGGAGAGGCAGCAACAGGAAACAAATTCTCATCAAAGTACCGATTAGCTGGTCAGCTGTCTGATCGCAGTAACAACTCAGTAGCTGGCATTTTGAAAACCTGCCATGATGACAGAAGTCCTGAGCAGAGGTTCACCTGTAGTGGAGACGACTGTGACGTCCAAAGCCAAACATCTTAACAAAGCGTCCTGTTGAAAGCAGGACTGCAGAGATACGACTCAGACAGCACATTAGATCATACATCTTCTCAATTAAAGCCATTTGATGAGGTTAGCAAGGACAAAGGAGGAGAAGTTGGGTAAAAGTATCCACAGGTGACTTCCCAGGTGGTGAAGGAGAGAAGTGCACAGAAGAGATGACAGGTGTGTAGAAAAAGGGACAGGTCAGAGGGAAAAGATGGTTCTTCAGGGCAGAAGAAAGAGAAACAGGGCTTCCAATTCACTTAACCAAATTAAAAAATGCATCGCTGTTTGGTTTATTAGCCCCATGCAATTCACTGTTTCATTTTAAATGTAAATACTGTGTGAGGTGCTGTCGTCAAGAGGTGTCCCCGGGAACAAGAACGCTCCCACCTACCCATACTTCTACTTTTTGCTTGAAGGATGTGCAGTGTCTTGTAAGACCAAAGAGTTCTGTGTGAAAAGTACAAGCACTGCCTCTGTTGTGAACATCTGGCCCTGACAGATCTGGAGCAGCATCCCAGGTGTGGCTCTGATGGAACTAAAACATCCTGTTTCCATCACATTTCCAGAGTAACGTCTGCTTGGCGTTTTCTGTAAATGAAGTGTGGCCTTCTGTATATGCTGTTATTTTCTTTATGCACCATGGAATTTGATGCTGCTCATATAAACTAGTTCCTTCTAGTGCCGTTATTGTAGACACGCATCACTTCTCATGCACCAAAGCACCGTCCCCTTGTAATTCATACATGACTGCTGTTTGAATAAAAAACAGACATGTCATGTATTATTACTTCAGTGAATTGAGGCTTTGATTCCACTTATAAAGTAGAGCAAAGGCAGAGGGAAGATGGATAAATCAAACAGAGAAGCTAACAAGTGAAGAGAGGGAGCGAAAAAAGAGGTGACTGGATAAATGTATACATGGCATGCTCACCATATACTGGACAGTAGAGCTGGACTTGCGCTTCTGTCCTCAGGCAATTGATGGATAGATGGATTTATTGACAGATGGACGGATGGATGATAGAAGAAGGTGGTAAAAAGAAAGCAACCAATGACAACAAGTGAATTAACTGGTACAAAGAAACAACTATCTGCACACTTTGATGACAACATAGGTCTCATTTCTTAAGAGCAGAAGGAAAGCAGGAAGAGGGGTGTTTCCCTCATAGACATAAGATTTTAAAGAATGATTGTGGAGGTAGAGCACTGCAAGCAGACACAAAGGAGCAGTGGTTTAAGTGGAAGTCATCAGGAAGAGGACATAAGAGTGGGAAGAAGAGTCGTGCAGATGGCAAACTGTGACCCACTGCTCATCCTTCAACCAATTAAGAGCAACTGGGGCAATAAGGAGCAAGATGGAAACAGAATAGATGGACAAACAACATTTCCTCTGTCAGGATACTAAAGCATTCTCCCAGAACTCTTGAATTCACGATGTAGTCAATATTTGTAAAGTTGTTACATCAATATATTAATAGCACAATAATTTGGAGACACGGGTGTAATCACCTCAAATGAAGAAGACAAAAAAACACCTCTTCTGCCGTCTGTCTTCCACTTTGTCTCTTTGTGAATTCAGGTCAAACATGTTGGATCATTTTGAAGCTGTTTATCTTTTTTATCCCCATGTCAACATGTAACAACCATATGTGTGCTATCAGTATAACAGCAGACAGCGGCTTTTCTGGCCGGAGTCTGGCAGCACAGCGGGCTGATGGTGGCGTGTAGTTAGTGCCAAAGAGAGACTGCTTGTACCGAGCAGGTGCTGCAGCTGAAAAACGTCCGGTGCCGTTACACGTTAACAAACCAGCAGGAGAAAATGGGGAGGAGAGGAAGTTGGAGTCGCCACCAGAACAAAAGGACATGTGGAGAGAAGAGGGAGAGGAAGAGAAAAGCAGGGACGGAAGCGAACCAAGAAGACGCCTTTAGAAATGGTTTGGGGCGAGTGTGTGGGGAGCCTGTTGCTAGGCGATGAGTGCACCGCAGTGGAAGTAAGCGTCTATTTCTGTCATCCGAGTTTCCAGGGTCCAGACTGGCAGCTATTCCTGGAACCGGAGTCACATTCCCTGCTGAAACGACTGAGCAGGGAGGAAGGGGAGAGGGGCCATTTGCACACACACACAAGCACGCACAAATGCACACACTGCTGCAGATGCACATGATCGAACTTCACATGCGGACACCCACGCTTACGCGCATTCTACGTGCAGGCATGCTCACACCCCCAATTGCGCTTTCGTTCTTTTTTCAAATGGACAAACAAATGCGACACAGTCTCACACACACACACACACACACACACACAGTTACATTCACGTATCCACAAACACACCTGTATGCCAACGTGCATGTGCACAGAGCTCTGCCTCACAGAATGTACAGTGCTAAGAAGCAAACACATTCGCTTGCATGCACACGAGGTTCCACACTTTGTCGCACACTAACTTGTGTGTCCGCTCCTCACACAGCCACATTCATGGAAGCTGTGAGTGGGATGTGTTACTGTAGTATGTGCATGCACGAGCGTGGGATGGCGAGAGAGTTTCATTAAAGGATGAACAGGAATGTGCGGTTAAAGACCAGATGGGGTGAGCGGGAAAAGGAAGCGATGAAAGAGGAGGAAGAGATGGAGCAAAGAGGAAGTGATGAAAAAATGAACTGGGGGGTGACAGATGGTTACATTTAATAATGGAGATGGAGAGGTGGCGATGAGATGAATAATATCAAATCAAAATAAAGGATGCTTTCAGATATGCGACTTGAGGCTTGTGCACTGCCAAGAAACATGCACGCACACACACACACACACACACACACACACACACACACACAAATACGTACACAGACACATGTTGACAGATGTGTATCCAGAGTAAGGCTGTGTCTCTGTGAATATTTTTAATTTACACACCCAAAATGGGGCATCACACTCAACAGGAAAATCCAGCAGCCTTAATACTCCTCATGACACGAAACACAAAATTAATACAAACACATTCAACTGTAATGAAAAGACAATGTTAGATAAGACGGATTAGGAAAGAAGCAGCAGAGCTGGAGAAGAAGAGGAGAAGCTCTGGAAAATTAAACAAGACAGAGTCAAGAAGAGAGAAGGGCAGAGAAGTGGGAGGATGTGTGATTACTTACCTTGACATCTGCCTTTTTGTTGAGCAAGGTCTTGGCTGCTGCAATGACAAACATAGGCAGAAATAATCACGCATGGAAGTGAATGGAAGCAGAAACTTCAATGACTCAATGTTTATCAGTGATTCTCAGTATCTGCTACATCTTTAACCTACATTAAAGCCTTCAGAGATTACATTCATCTGACTTTGTTGACCAAGTAGTATTAACACCTTCCTACTGAAGCACTTAGACTGTGTTTTATCATCGCAGCACTGTGACTCTTCCAGACAGGCAACCCTGCCACCTTCAGATTTCACTACATGCTACGAATGGCTACTGTAACTGATTGATCTGTTAGTCATCGATTTGTTTTCCTTACAAACGCAGCTTGTGCTTTCAGTCAAGTTGGGCTTTCATTAATGTGGCAAAATTAAATTTACTCAAGCCTGTTTAAGGCTTTTGTTCAGCTGCTTGAAGTTACATCTAAGTGAGTCACCGCATCAGGTCTGGTGGGTAAAACCTCTGTTGTAAGACCAAATTATTATTATTATTATCAATAATATTAGTAAATTATGATAAAAAACACACTAAATGCTTATTCTCTGTGGTGATGCTATTTAGGTTTAAGCTCAATACGCCATCACACAAAGTGATTAGAAGTCACTGGTCCTATTAGACAGGTGCATTAAAATTATGTGACAGCTTTTAAGTTCTAAATGCAACGTAAGTTTCCAAGTGTACAGTGCTAAGGGTGAAAAAACAAGCTTATGCCAAGCATATGCACTAGGAAGAATTCCAGAGTTGCCTCCCAAACCAATTTCCATCACCATTCATTTATTTTCCTGGTTACTGGTTGGTTTTTACTCTCATTTTTGGAAAGGTGTTCTACAAATAAAGTTTATTATTATATTTATTTCCCCACTCTGTCTTGAGAATAGCTCAAGAGCTTTAGGGTTAGAACCTGATGCTTTGTTTTCTCACAATACAAATATGTTGTCGTCAGTGAAATAACAATGTGCTTTTATTCATTGTTTCACAAATTCTTGTGCCGAGGTCCCCTCGTGGCCATGAGGAAGCCAAAACAAAGATGGCTGCCGTGCAGGGCAACCATCTAAAGCCAACGAAAAGAACTCCGCGGGGGCCATAGCAGAGGATTAGTCTTCAGTCTGCCTTCTAATGAAGAGTGATGAAGAGGGTGGCGACGGGAAAGCACACGAGAGGATGAATGATACTGTAGACACTGTCCTCTGATGAGCATAATACCCATAATCCTTTACAACAGTGGAAAAGGCGTGCAGACAACAGAAGACAGTCCACATGGCTTTTACCATGGGTGTATCGTTAAAGCACGGAGAGCGGAGTGGGGCAACTGCCTTAGATAGTAACAGGTTCACCCAGAGAGGCCAGGTGTCGGTGAAGGCTGTGGGTGTGTCCGTGTGGATGTAGGCAGAGGATTCATTCTAACAAGACACCACATGTTGAGGAGACTGGACGAGCAGATGTTGACAGCAAAAATCCACTTGCCGACTTGTTGGTACTGTACAGGTCCAGCCACGGACGCACACATGAAGAAAACACTTAAGGCAACCAGGAAGTAAAGGGTTTTACATTTCCTGTTGTTTTCAGTTCTCTGTCTCTGTGAAAGACTTTTACCTCTATTAAAACAAGACAAAAAAAAGTTTTGAAAGCTAAACGAACATGTCTCAGTTACTCATATGCTTCTCCCCTATAATTATGTTGTATTGTAACATTTGATGTTTTGATAGAAGTTTAAAAGTGGTCTTTGTGAGGGTAGATTTGTGATCGACAGGGGAAGCAATTTCTCTGTTTCACAGGAAGAGAACAGCTACAGAAACTCAAAGAAGAGACTAATTAAATATGATTCTATAAATAATCTGTTCCACAGCCTTCATACTCACTAGATGATGACGTTTTAACACTTGTAGTCTCATATTTAACAAGTTAATGCCACTCTACCTGATTTCGTTCAGCTGCTAGAGGGCACAATTAAACATTCTAAAGAGCACAATAGCAAAAGTCACTTGGAAAATGCTGGTGCCTATTCCCTGCCATTCCAAGTCTCTCTCTTTCTCCCTTAGATTAATTCTTACTAGGACATTTTAAGGGGCTGAGTACAATTTTAAGTCTAATCAGATGCAATCCCATCAGCAGCAGCCAGGCACGTTACATAAAACACTATTTCTGGCAGTCTGGGATTTTATTTCTTTCATTCTCTCTGCCTCTCTTCCTTTTCCTCTCCCTCCTTCCTCTCTCTCTGAACATGACATACAGTAAATCTTCTCTGAATTTCTCACTTCTGCTCCCAAAAAAGCTCAAAGCTCAAACATTGAATTTTCAGCAACAGCCTGAATTCCATGAGAATTTCTATTGATTTCCAGTGATTTCTTACAGTTCTATATGTCCCCAGAGGAACAGAGAGGCCAATTCAAAGTGTAGTGAAGCCCTGGTCCAGTCTTTTTAAGTAAACTTATGTGAGCTGTGAGAACAAATGGGGCACCGTGATTGAGAGAGAGCAACACAGGGGAGATGCACAACACATCAATGCCACCTTTCTTGATAATTTTTAGCCTCAGCAATTCACTATATCATGTTTCTGCATATTCAGAAGTCGAGGAAGCAACAGTGGGAAGACGTAAAGAAGCACTGCATAATCCGGAGGGAGGTGAGAGGGGCAGGAACCTGAATGGTTTATTGATGTGCTGCTCTTCCTCAGTCTCCTTCCAAAAGCTTGTTGTTACTGAGGAGAAGAAATGGGGTCAGAATAGTGACAAGTTCACTTTCTCATATTCTCTGATGGTTTGGCAGAGGAGAGGATATGAAAGGAGAACAGACAGGAAGAGTAAGAAGAACAATGAAAGTGATGAGTATTTCACCGTGCTCTTTCCAAACACTATTATTGTGTCAAAGTAGCGAAGTGGCTCCTCTTAAAAAAATAAAAATAAAAAAATAAACTAAACTGAAGGTTGTTAAAAAAAATGGCTTCAATTCCAGTTACGAAGACAAAATCTCAGTGGAAACCTGAAAAGTCAAAGGTAGCTTAATTCACAGCAGCGGTGATAGAAGCAAGGGGCCGCCTTGCTTCTGCCACCTTGCCACCTTACCTTGCCACACATTACACATGAAGCAAGAAGAGAGAGGAGGAAAAGATTAAAACAAAAGTATCACTAATAAAGTCCCACTAAAAACAGGCAAGATGCACCACTGCAAGAGCGAAGCAAGGATGGGCAGCGATCTACATGAAGATTCAATGTAATCACACAAACAAAAGGTGGCTTTGGAAATGGGATACGCTACTGAAGGGACCCGCTCGGGTGAACCTTTCTACACACAGCATGGTGAAGGCCAGGACACATTAAGACACATTTATCCTATTTTTGTATGAGGACAGGCTGAGATCTGGTAAATGGTGGTTGTATTTATGTGTATGACTACGCAAGACAGAGCGAGGCCTCTGGTAGATGAGGCAGAGTGAGGCCTTCGGGGGGAGGGGGTCCATTATAAATATTTGATTGGATCCTAAAGGAGGCCGAGGGACACAGAGAGGACTGCGGCGTCCCAGTGGACCACAGAAACAAGGACACTGCCACTTTTCTGTCTCTACATCTGTGGTGATGAAAATACTGCACAAAGATGTGAATGCAACTGTGCAGATTTACATATCAAATTTACATTTCACAAGGGGCAGACATTAGACTCCAAGTTGCTCAAGTGTGAGGTGCATGTCCAATTTGCTCATGTGTATACAGCCAGATGTCTACTGATTAGATCGGTCTTAACATGCCATTATTGCCATAGGTTGCCAGGCTTTTTGCAGATTTGAATTGGGGGCCTAAAGGTAATACTTTATCTACATTAGCTGATGTGCAGGTTGCTGCTTGCTTTTGATGTCTGATGTGGTCAGACAGAAAATACCTTTTTGCTTCACACGAGTCACACAAATTTGACCCCTAGACTGTTTGTGGTGAATCAACGCGAGCTGCACAAACACCCAGTGTACCATTTGAACAGATGATAGCTGTAAGCTAGCAAGCAATGGAAGCACCAACTGTGTGCGGGGGTGTGTGCAAGTCTTTGTGCGTGTTTGAGCTCAGCTCGTACTTAGAATTCCCCAAAAACTTTGTTCTTCTCTCATGCTTTCTTATCTCTCTGTACGTTAATCTGTTTCCTAAAGCCCCGAGATAAGTAGAAATGTTTTGCTCAAGTTGAAACTCATGCAGACATTTCTTTGCATCATTCGACGCCCCAGGCACATTTGCATCTAATCATGTGTTTCTATGCACTTTGAATGCAATCATCTTCTCTAAATAATTTGCTTGGCTTTCTGCACAATAAGACTGCAATTAGGCTACAGATTTTAAGGTTCAGTGGGTTTCTACAAATCTACTATTGACTACACCTTGTGAGTAGTGTATATTGGTATAACAAGTAGTAAATAGAGAAAAATAATCAAAGCTACATCTACTACAGTATGGGAGCTACAGCTCAGTCTGCGGGCTAGCAAATCTATAGTATGCTATACTCCGTGCACGAAATAGTTCACAGTAAAATCAGTAACACAACAGCTCCAGAGGTTTTAGGCTTCATGAGTATCAGCCCAGCCTTGCATCTTCCACAGTGTTCACCATGCACTACAGTTCCAGTGTGGCAGCACATGCACCAGTTGAGTGCCCCATGCAGCATTCACCGACAGCTCCCGGGCAGTTCCATCCTTTAAGTGACAGAGATGAACTTTCTAGTCATTGTCAGACAGAGAGAGGAAGAAAGAAGGAAAGAGAAGTGAGTGGAAAGGTGAAATTATGGTGGAAAGAGGAAAAGTGGAAGTGATGCTCGTGGAGTTGTGGAGGCGTAGAGGGTGACATGGGAGGCAACACAACAGATTATAGGGAAGAGAGTGAGGTGAAATGGAGTGGCGATGCAACAGAGGTGAGATGAGTGAGGAGAAAAAAGAGAAAAGAGAGACAGGACAGAGGTTTGGCTGAGCCGAGGCCATGCTCACTGGCTGTGGCTACAGATGAGGCTGACAGGATGAACATGGGTCGGTGACAATGGCAGCAGTGATAGGTGCTGCAGGCGGCCTATCAGATCCCAGACAGGAGGTGACGATGTGCTGATATGGACAGTGACAGCAGTAGCTGGGCTTCCATCCTTCACGTTCTTTATGAATCATGAAGCATCAACACAGAACGAGCAAAAGGAAACTGACATAGGCAGTAAAACATCTCCCCTGCTGCAAAGATTCACTTCTGATTTGTGTTCCTCAAAGGTTTTACTGTATTTTGTTGATAAAAGGCCACAAGTACTGTCACTCTCATTGCATCTCTTTGTTTGTCCATTACTGTAGCTACATTAAAGGATCAAAAGGCCACAAGTACTGTCACTCTCATAGCATCTCTTGTTTTGTCCATTACTGTAGTTACATTAAAGGATCTTTTGCTCATGGCCAACAACATCTTCCCCAGCACATGATGCTTTTACTTGTCTATAATTTTATCATTAAAAACACCAACTAATTTTAAAAACACAAGTTGCTTTTTATTTTCTGTACTCTATGTATCAAGATGTTGTATAATACTTGCAAAACAGATGGAAACAGCTGGTGCTGCTGATGAGTCAATGGGGGATGTAGCTAGCGGTGTGGTTAGCTATCATGCTCTGAGCTCCCATGCTGAGCAAGGACAGAGGGAGGAAGTAGAGAAGAACAGGAGAGAGGGAAACAGAAGATGAGGAAGAACAAGAAAAAGAGTAAAAGAGAAGGACAGAGATAGGGTAGGAGGAGAGGGCTGACATGCCCTGGGTGAACCGCCGTGCTACCTTGTTCCACCAGCCCTGCCCCCCCCAGCCACTGCTGCTACAGCTGCAGAGACAGAGGCTGGAGCTGTGGTCTGCCTGCTGCCCACTGGCACACAGAGTCCAATACCCAGTCAGACATGAAGAGAGAGAGTTACAAGTAAAGGAGCAAACGAAGGAGAGAAACAGGTGAATGAGGAGCAGGGTGTAAAGATGGAGAAAAGGCAGGAGTGGAATTTAGAAAAAAGGGTTAGAAGAAAGAAGGTGAGGGTGAGTCAGAGACACAGCAGGAGGCAGGTGGGCAGGGTGGGGGGGAAGAGAAAAAGGCGGAGACAAACGGGACTCATTAGTTTACAGAAAGCGGGGAGTATACATCAACTGTACACAAACCGGTGACATTATTTAACTGTGACAAAATCTGTCAGAAATGAAGCTTTGGCAGAAGCGTCAGCAGAGAAAAATGTCAGGGAGGGACACACATCTCGACTCATCTGAGACTCTCTGTCTGTCTCTGCTTCCATTTTGTCCCTACATGTACCTGAAAACAGCACTGTTGTTAAGATGATGGTGATGACGACACAGGATCGAGGCAATGTTAGTAAATGTTAAATCTGCAGCGCTCACTGGCCTTAGTACGTCTGTAATTTACAGCACGCTGTGAAATTCACTGTAATCAAGGTAAAATACTGTACTGGGGCTTCCAGGGATTCGAATTATTTTTGAGGCCAAACAATCAAGCCAATTTACGTCGGTTATGTGATTAGTCATGACGTTAATACCACCACGTGCCTGTGACATATCACTGCGACGTGAGAACTGTCCATGCACCGTTTGTTTTTGCTGCTTTATTGTTTTTTTTAGAGCAGTAGCTGCTTCTTTTTATCAGTTCACCCAGTGACGTTGTCAACTGCTCAAATAATCAGTTATTCATGCGCATCCCTAGTGGCTTCCCTGATGTGGTAGGGATGTTTATTTAATCCTTAACTTTGTACTTATAACCATATATGTTATAACTACCACCTGAAATCAGCATGTGGAGGCAACGTGACCCACCTCTGTGTCAGCCCAGGGACACTGATACACTGCTGTGTGTAATGCATTATTCATATGATGAGAATATAGTAGCCTACCGCGTAAAGCTTCTGCACTGATGTAATGTATCACAGTTGTCTTTTACTGAAGTGCTCTTTCTCATTCTTGACTTTTTTTTTTTAGCTACTTCTCATTGTCTGACTCATTCACCTGAGGCCCTCACACCTCTAATGGAGTACCGCTTCCTAAGAAAGTGAGTGAGAATAGGGTGTTTGAGAGCGGTGACACAGCCAGGCCACACACCTGGGTCACAGCGTGGGAGTTAAAGAGCTGAGTGGATGTTCAGACTAGTTCCCATCGCAAAGCTTAACGGTGTCAGAGCGGCTGCTGTGAGTCATGTCTACTGAAGCAGCATGCTTGCACACACATACAAACGTCACTCAGACACACACACACACACACATCTATATATAAGCAAAACACACACACATACTGTACATGAACAGACTTGGTGTTTGTGGTTCATTAAGAGAAAGTGCCGTTCTCCCGATGCTCCAATACTCCCCCACTGTCAAAGTTGAATGTCAGCCGCTTGTACGAACTTTACTGATTCTTCCATACGTTGAGTTTTAATTGGTAGGATTACTCACTGATAAGTTCTCATTTCACTGACCACAACAGTGCAGAAAATACCTCAGTAAGTGAAACAGATTTTAAAAAACACTTTTGTCAAGAAATAGTGGATTTGTTTATATCTTGCTCTCCTACTGAATTAGGAGCAAAGGTAGTTACCAAATGAGGAAAGTCATTTGTGAAACGTGTCTCTGAGGCACAAATATAAAACAAAGTCATACTGTCTAGCTTAGCTTATAGCAGAGATTTTAAATCAATGTTAAACCTTCATAACAAAGTGTCATCTATTACAGAAATATAGACAAAAACGAAGACAAGCACACAAACACATCCACAGCTTGCTGATCAAATTCAGTGTTACTCCGAGTTTTACTGTACTGTACTTCAGGCCGAGCACAGTGAAGACATAACGGAAAGAAACTAGTCTCAATAATAGTGAGAAATGTCCACTAAATGACCTACAAATAAAAACAAGGCTTACAAATGTTTAACATTTGTTCAGAATGTTTTGTTTTCATTTGTGAATTGTGAACAAACCATCATACACATCTATAAATGTATTGTTAGATCACGCAACACATTTGTCACTATTACTGAGACACATTTTCTCTACAGAAGATACAAATGAAAAAGTGTCCGATTACTGTCAGCTCATCACCACATCAGATAACGAGTATGGAAGAAACAGTTAGCTTAGCTAACAGTTAGCAAAAATGCTAATCCAACTACTGCTCTCGGTCATTTTAGAGCTGGTGTGGACATTTATGAGTGTTATCTCATTAAAATTATTAAAATTTTGATGTGAAAATGTAGGCAAAACATTATTTATTTAACAGTTGTTTTGTAATGTAGTTATTACCGCAGAAGGAAACAAAGATGAGGGAAACACTGAAGTTGAACTGAGATGAAATGAAGATGTGATTTTGCTTCTGATAGCATGCTCTCTGAGTTTATATAAAAATACTGTCCCTCTTACCAGTGTTTAAAGGCACATGCCACCATTTTGGTGGAGCAGAACATTAAAAGTCTAACTGGGTCTGCTGAGTCTTTCTTTCTGGAAGAAAAGCTACATTTTCTAGGTTCCACCCTGCTTAAAGTGAAGCTCCTCATCTTCCAGGTGTTAACACTCAACCCCTGGCAGTGATCAGCTTACACAGGATAAGGTTTTAGGTGAAGCGTCCTCCAACATGGCAGCATGTTCCTCAAACCAGACCAACTCCAAACAGCATGCTTATATTCATTTTTTGTCCCCCTCAGTAGTTATGCACATACCAAACCACCAACTACCAAACATTTAGCACCTTTACATAAACTACATACTGCTTGATGTGTGTTCACAGATATGAATGGCAGATTTACAGTAATGAGGGATACGAGAACTATGTCCAGATGACACTTACCAGAGAAGTTTCGAGACACCAGCATGGTAGTAAGAATGGCCCCCTGCAAAGAAAACAAAACTGTAACATGATCATTTTGACATTTTTGTACAAACCGTTTCACCACTGTGCCACTGACTGATACTCCACAGCAGTGATTCATCAGACATGCAGGGGATCAACGCTTTTATATGTGCAGATCTTTAAAAAACAAAAATTGGTCTCTCCTCGGAAAAATGGTGACTCACAACAGGTGATACTTAAAATTCATCAGCAAGAAATACAAAGACAAACGTGCACTGAAACTGCACTACAAATGCAGTTTGATTGACAGGTTAGGTCTCTCTCAGAGTGTAGACTACACACTAAAAAAGACCATGAGCAAGTTTGTAAACCACTGAAGAGACATGTAGAGACAAACACAGACAACCTTGCAAAGCACAAATCTGCCACTTCAAGAAGAAAAAACATTCAACTAAAGATGTCCTGATCCGATAAGTATCAGTATCGACACCGGTATGGGTATATTTCACAGGATCCGTATTGGCCAGAATAAATTCAGTCCAAAACAATGAAAGCTCACTCGTTCCAACCAGAACGTCACCATTTTCAATATGTCAGACATTTAATGAACATTTACTGTAGGTAAATATAAATATCAGATTGGTATGGGCAGATATTTAATATTAAAGGAACTGGATCCAAAAAAGCTAAATCGGGACATTCCTACATTAAACTAAATTTGTAAACTACTGCAAACTCCTTAAGTTAATATGAAAGCATCAACATTAGGACAAGACAGAAAGAGCAGGTCAAAGTTAGGGCAAATTAATTTAAATACAGTATGTAGTATGACTGCAAACTGAGTCAGCAAAGTCGCCTGGAGAGCCAAACTGTGCCGGGATGTAGCCTCAATAACTAAAGAGACATGAGAGAAACAAAGACATAAAAGAAGAGAAAGAGCGAGACAGAGACCTAAGTTACGCAGCTACTCCTGGCACTAAATCTCTGAAGAGCTCAATTACAACAAGAGCCAATAACTTTTTATGGAGCTATAAATATGGTACTGAACTGCAAATGGACCAGAGTATCTAAGAGCTGTGGAAGTTAATAGCACCTAATATTTGAATAGCTACAATGAGAAGCCACAGCAAGACCAGCGTGAGAAAAAACTAACAAATGTGCTTGTAAATTTTTTCCATGTACTTATGTGTATTTATTAGCTGTCGTATACCTTTTACAGTGTTAGAGAAGTCAGCTTGTGACATTCTGTGTTGTCCCAGATGGTTTTTGTCTCTCAGCATGTTCTGTCTATCTTATACCATTTCCTAAGCATAAACACATTGAGGTGTACATGTAAAGGCGGGTACAAGGCCTCTAGGTGATGCGCTGTCATGTTTCATGTAACATCTGGTAACAGACCTACAATAGATGTTGTGTGTGCAGAACAAACAGTAACATTACAGTATGGAAAATCAGGATGACGACATTAGAGTGGAAATGCATATGAAAAATCACCTATCATATTTACTAGGTAGCTGAATGTCTAACCTTGCTAGTGTTCATTTCTTTTTAAAGGTGAAAAGCTACAGACAATTGGTTCAAGCTGATGCCATGTCGGCTGAACGGTCCAACATTTGCCTGTAGCCACCTGTGCTCATGCTTCCATGTGCTGGAACGTGTGCCAAGGACGGCAAATACAGCAGGGTAACAGTGGCATGCTAAGCTGTTGTATCCACACAAAATGTCAGCAATAAATCAGCAGAGAAGGAAACTATGCCTGTAGGATCCCCTTACTGCCTCTGCATGTGAGCCATCTCCATTGAACACATTTAGATTGATCATTATTTTCAGATCAAAGCAGTAAGTAGTAGAAATACTTTGCAGTAATGGGAACAAAATTCAAGAACAAAGTGGAGGAAAGAGTTATTTCAACCCACATAATAACTTATTAAAGCAGAAGAGGAAGATGTGGGACAGGGTGAGCTTGCAAACAGACCTTCAGTTTCCTCCTGGCATTGAATTTCTTCAGGCACTCTACAGTCTCCTGTCTGTGCATCATCGACGCCACTGTAGATCGTTGCTGGAAAACAGAAGAAGAAAAGGAGGAGCAGGAGAAGAGGGGGATGACAAAGACAGGGGGTTAGAGTTAGGTGTCTTTTCTAAACATACAGTAGTATAACAACATGCCTGCTTGCCTGTCTCAAGCAGGGACACTTACACAGACCCATGGGTGCTTGAGGGCCTCCTGAGCAGTGATCCTCTTGGCTGGGTTGATGGTCAGCATCTGGTTGATCAGGTTTTTGGCCTCTGGGGTAACTGTGTCCCACTCTGGGGAAGGAAACTGAAGGAATGAACAGACCCACGTGTGTGAACATTCATAAAGCTGTTCGACCGAGAATTAGTCAGAAAACTTTTTTATAATCAATTCGGACATTTTCAAGCTAAAAATAAATTTCTTTTCACCTGTTTACAAATTCAAACCATCTACATTGGCTCTCAAATTCAGTGTAAAATTCACAAGTTACAGTATCTATACAGCAGGGAATCTACCAAAAACCTTATAAAGTCCAGGGACAGTTTTGTTGTATATTGCATAATTCTGCTAACCTGTTTATTAACTGAAAACCCATGATGGCTATTTATAGGACCCTCTGGGCTTCAAATTCCAGCTGTCTTGGATTGTTATCATGGTTTTTCCTTGACTTTCTTGTTGTCATTGAATGTCACCTGTCATACCCTCGCCAAGACGACTCAGCCAGGGCTGATCAGACCCCAGCTTCTGCCCTAGCAGCTACCCACATATCCCCCCTCATCATCCACAGCCACCTTGAGGCTTTCTCTACAGCTCAGTGATGCTACGAATGGCCCTTCTCCTATTCTCTCCTGTGATGCCAAGTGCAGCACGGGCCCTGCAGAGAGACTGGCATACAAAACCTCTCCAGCCCGGCTTCTGGCAGTCCTCGTATTTCTCATATTTCATCACATTTCTCCCTCTTTCTCTTTAAAATCTGAAATGCAAATATCCCTACTGACAAATCCTCAAATACAACAAGAAATCCTGAAATCTAATAACAAACACAGGCCAAAGGCAAGATGTTGAACCCAGGATGTTGCCGGTGCTTGTGTATTTAACAGTTTGGCCACTACGTCTCCCTGTGGTGTGTGTTTTTCAACAATATCAGCACAGGTCCCAGCAATTTTTGAAGAAATTTTAAACCCATCAGGTCCTGTTGTGTTTAGGTATAAATGTTGAGGTCTGTACTCAGAATCACTGCAGGCCTCTCTCCGTTTGGCACGTCGCCGAAAGTGATCTAAGTTGAGGCTCCATCTCTTGCACCCCTTGAAATGTGACTGAGGTGATTGAGTTACGTAACTGCTGCCAAAAAGGAACAAGGGCAGCGAGAGGCGGGGGGAGGGCGACACAGCAGGAGGCGAGAGGAGACTCACATCATAAGCCCCAGCCTTGATCTGCTGGTACAACTTGTGCTGGTCCTCGTCCCAGAAAGGAGGGTAACCCACCAGCAGGATGTAGAGGATCACCCCTGAGACACACACACAAACACATATGGACATACACACACAGACAATGTCCTTAACTGTGCTCTAGGAAATGCCATGTGTGCTCGAGTCTCTCTGTACAACTCACCGCAGGCCCAGATGTCCACAGGCTTGCCATATGCCTCCTTCCTCAGCACCTCAGGGGACAGGTACCCCGGTGTGCCAGCAAATCCTGCAGTAAACACACACACACACACACACACACACACACGCACAATTGACTGACATACTCAAGGCAGCAGATTACGCAGCCACTATCCTTGGATCAGCATGAATAGAAAGCGTGATAATCTTCTGTACGCTTAGGGCTGTTCATCCCCACAGTGGTCTGAGATGTTAAGGACAGATTTGAGGCTTTAAGGTCAGATGATTGTGAAGGACTCTCACAGATGCCATCACTGATGGATACAGATGTCTGTAGTAGAGATCCCAGTGTTAAAGTGCGCCTCAGCAATGCTAATCCAACACCAACAGGTTCACCCCCATCACTGTTTGTTCTTTCTCTGCTCATTAATGATTAAAACTTGCAGTAGTCTGGATCTCCAGGGTCAGAGACATTGATTTTAATGATTAAAAATAGAATTAGCCGTGATGATCACTAGGGGAAGTGCATAGGGAATAGAAATGGACGTTCTTGGCAGTAGATCAATGCTAGTACACCTTTTTTTTTTCATTTTTCAAGTGTTTATAAAATGGTGCATAGGCTTATATCTTTACAATTTCTCCTCAATGGCCACAAGAGGGTGCACATAAAGAATAACAGAGCATAAGAAGTTAGTAACTTTGAGGAGATGCAATCTTTTCCCGAAGCTGAAGTCATTCAGTGTCAGTGAACCTCCCTTAGTTACTCTCCTATATTTTATGTCTTAAGGTCTTTTTCCCTCCATTTTTCTCAAATAATTGTTAAGATTCTGTGGAGCTCCTTAGTAGTAACAGTAACTGAACCTGTTCCATCACTGTAATCATGAGCTCCTTTAAAGCTTTAGATCAAGTTTATTTTTATTTTATGCAGCCAAAGTTTAACCAGGGTGAGGGCAGAAACCTTGTTTGCAAAGGAGCCCTGGCATCAGCGTCCAGCTCAAGGCAAGAGCAGAAACATAACCACCATCAATGTCGAGAATTAAAGTCGGGGTAAAGTGGGAATAAATGTTCTATGTTTGTTGCACCACAGGATGTCATTAACCATCCAGACAAATCTGCATGATTAAAAAAATCGCCAAGGATATAAAATCAGCTCCCAGAATCATAGTTCTCAGTCTTTTCACATTTTCAGCAGCTGTTTTCTAACACTGATAATGGGTTTAGAAACAAAGCACTGATTTCGCTTTAACCTGACTAAACTTAAATAAGAAGCAAATGAATGTGTCACCATTAAATTTACAATTCCATGGATGATACTGAGTTTAATGATTTGTTTGCCCTCTGAAACCTACTCCAAACGGCTGGAGCAGAGAACACAAAAGCTTCACTTTCCCATCTCTGTTTGAACACTGGGACACAGCAGGTGCCTTGTGATCTAACATAATGACTGGAAAATGAGCTCCTTGAAAAAAGTTTGCAATTTATCTAAAATAGCTTTTTGAAGAAAAATATACCAATGATTCAAACGGAGCATAGAAAGAGACAACCTGCAGAACAGTGATGTTGCAGTGTGATACACAGAGTCCAACCTACAAGCCACTGTGCTGGTGTATTGAAGTATAAGTCACCATAGTCAAGGTGTTTCTAAAGAAAAACATGACCTGTGTGTGAAATAAGATCCTCTCTTCAGTCCAGTTTTTTTTTTTTTTACAAGTGCAGATGTGATTAACTCCGGTTTGTGCTGTACCTACCAAACCAGGCCTGCTGATCCCCCTGCACCTCGATGGCCAGGCCAAAGTCGGCCAGCTTCACTGCAGCGTTCTTGCATTTGCTTGCCAGGAGAAGGTTCTCGGGCTAAAGTGAAGAAGGCAAGAGAAATAATGTCACCAAACATTCTGAAATGAAGGAATGGGGGCACACACACATGCACCATAAAGACAGAGATGCCGTTTCAATAACGCGCACGGACACACAAAAGCTACACAGTAAAAGTTAGCCCACATTTCAGCCGTGCGTAAGACCCAGTCAATCCGCAGTGCTTTTTTGTCCCAGTCTCACGTGGCGTGCTGTGGTCTATAGGCTCCATCTCTGTGGCCCAGATAATCCAACCAGCCTCATTATTCTCTGTCAGAACTGGAGTCTAATAATGGGCTGCTATCCCCACTGGCCCCTGCCCTCTCCCACTTCCACTCCCCCTACACTCTCTCTTAATCCCACTTGATCATTGCTCCTGTAAAAGAAACCGCAAACCTTGAATGACAAATAAAGAACCGGTGGGAAGCAGCAATAAAACTATATAAAAAACATCCATCATGATATTCACGATGATGGGAAATCGGCAAACAGGCTAACGAGGTTACCTACGTGTTGGACAACTCTGAGTTAGTATGACTCCTTAGGAGATCAGCTAGGATCTCCAAGGCAACCCATATTTCTTTGTGTGGTGAGAGGACATTTCAGGTCAAAGCCAGAGTCCTAGCTGTCCCACTCTTACCCCTATGCTAAACTCCAGATCAGATAAACAGCAGCTCGGCCGTGAAGCTGCCTATATGACCGAAAATCCTCTGTACTCAGTCTGTTTAGTGTACTGTACAAAGTGCAGCTGTGCACTGTGCATGTACTGCCTTGAGTATAACTATGTCAACATTAACAGCTGCAGCCCAAGGCTTTGACAGATATTTAATAGCCTTCCACTTATACTGATGGGTGTATTACTAGGGGCCTCTAATGACCAAAACAAAAGCCCACTGGGTACTGTTACTTGTATAAAGTTTTCTCCTGTCGTTCAGGGACTAAAGTAAGTCTCATTAATGTCACCTAAACAAGTCTTGCTTCTCTTCCAATGAGCTGGCATAGCTGTTTCCTAAAATGCACCACAGTAAACTGCAACACAAGTGCAGACTTACAGCATAGAGAGAATGAGGACATTGCATTTATATTTCTGTCACTGCCTCCCCTGCATTGCAGCAGTGTGTCTTTGCATCCTCTGCCTCCCTCCCTTTCCTCTCTCCCCTCAGCTACTTTGTTTAAAGGAGAAAACATAGTGTGTATTTAAAGTGCAGTTACTTAAAAATGGGCTTTTATAGTCTTTGAGCCCATAAATAAAAGAGAAAATGGGCAAAAGCGAGAGACTGTGAGTGAGCAAACAAGTAATCCTAAGGCCTGGTGCCTGCCTCTGTTCTCCCGGCTCCATTGCTTAGTTAGGCTTTACTCTTTTGTAATTGGCAGAGTCAGAACTCGCCAACATTGCAGCAGTAAGATAATCTGTGAAAACGGATGTGGGTGGAAATTCTAATGAAGCGTGCGCTTCCATCACAAAGCTGCATAAATACAATGTAAAACATCCAGGTCACAGTTCAGAAATAACAGCAGCAATCGCCATCCCTCTGTGACATAAGGGCTCTTTCCCCTCTCCATCTCACACACAGCTGAGCACATTGATGACCTGATGACTAGCAGCTGGTTTGGCTGAGGGCGAGAGAGAGAGACGGTGAACAGAAGCTGCATTCGAGGCATGAGTGGGTGTTTGAACGGTTCCCAGCCTTTTCCCTTCCCATATATTTCTCTGTCTGCAGAGGAACTGGAGCTACTGCGGCATAACTACCTTGTTCAGAAGAAGTGATGGAGACAGAGGCCTCCGGTAAGGAGGCTCTCCAGTGTGTGTAAAGAGACACAGCTGATTCTACAATGGTCGTCTAGATTTAAGCCAGGTCCTAACCTACTGTATTGTTTTTTGATACTATTCCCATTTTTTGATACTATTCTGAAAACAAATACATAATCAGTCAAGTTGGAAAACTTCTAATTTTAGAAGAAAACCACCTGCTCATCTCATTTGCCACAGCCTAAACCCCAACTCTGGGGCTCTTGTCACCCAGACTGTCCTCAGTCATCACACTGTGACCTACTGCATGAAATGCTTGCCCATGCTTCGATATGAAACTAGATAGGCGCATCAGCTAAATAAAGAAATAGCCACAACATTTCTCATAAGCACAACACGCCTTTGCTGGAATGCTAAGTGACATTTGCATAGAAGAGATCCACACCAGACAAAGTGCATCATGCAAAACAAGACTGGACATACAGCGCATGCATGCACAAACAAACACTACAAGGTACAAGACATGACAACAAAGGACTCAAAACAGTCTGGACTTTGTTGAGTATAGCATTAAGCCAAATTTCATTACTTTTAAATTAGCTGTCATAGTAAAAAATCACACTAAACAAGGCAATGTTGCTATTTCTTGCTGTACATTTTTACTGAAAATGCATCTAGCTCTGCAATAAATACAATTACAATAAATCAAAAACTTAATATGAATCATACGACATATCTATAGAAGTGTACACAACATATCTATTACCCAAACTTCTAAAAAAAAAAAAAAAAAAAACAGCTCAGGCTCTGCACCAGCAGACAGTCTACCACTAAAAACAAATGTCTCTACACCACAAGTTAATTGAGGGCGGTTAACAGAAAATGATCTGCCATGTTTGAAGCTATGAAGGTCGCACCAGGTGCCGTTTAATCAATAGGTGACATCTCTCTCTGAGAAGTCAGTGAACCAGAGGTCTCATTAAGTATCCTCCTGGGCCATCTTAGACAGATCCATCGACTGTGCAATGACGAGACCCTGTTCCAAAAAGGTTACAGAGCAGAGGCACCAGTCAGGCAGCGTGACTGACGCTGCATACTTGAAATCTCCCCAGACTGGGGGAGGTGGTGTTTACACACCAGGAAAAGAAGCTGACTGCACCGTGCTGGAGACTGTGTATGGCAGAGCGGAGCCGGAGAAAGGTCAGAGACAGTATTTGACAACCTCATGGTCACAAAGCTGCAGGGACTGTTCTATCACTGAGTGGTGAGAGGAGCTTTGGCCTGACTTTAAATGGCTTTTAATTGTTCAGCCAACTACTGTAAAGGCCAAATGTGTATTATATAGTTACTGATGGAGAAATCATCTTTAAACCAGAACCCTCCTGCATTAATGGGGCTTTGCAAGTGACATAACATTCACAAACATTACACACACAGACTACACACCTAAACATACCTACAATACCCCCTACACAAATATATAAGCACACTCTCACGGGACAGCCAGGCGAACCCCATCACTCACCTTCAGGTCCCGGTGCACCACACCCATTTGATGGCAGTGAAGCACCGCCTCCAGGATCTGCTGGATGCAATGACTGCATGCAAACACCAAGGGGGGCGCAGGTTAGTCTAAGCAGCGATACAATCCCATGCACAGGCCATGGGTGTAGGGGAGGAAAGGGAAGGGAAAGTGGGGGGGGGAGGCATGAGGGGTAAAAAGAGGGGTTGAAAGGACTCTGCTGTTGCCAGGCGTCTGTCCCACAGCACAGCACATGGCCAAATTTATAACAATGAAGCCAAAAGTTACATAGTTAGCTGCTACTTAGCGACACAGGCTAGGGTAGTTACCCACTGCCCAAATATTTAAGGACTACTGTGAAATATTCCATAGAGTACTAACATGTTCATCATAAGACAAGCTGTAGGACAAAATCTGTTTGCTTGCTTTTCTATGTTGAGCTTCCCATGTTATAGGTGACCTATATAGACCCTGTGGGTGTGATCGAACACCCTGCAGCTAAGCAGCCATCTTCAATGACCTTCATTACTAAGGTTTTTGAGGGCTGGCTGGTGCTATGATGTCAACTCAGTCAGCTTGGAAGGACGTCGCTGTAGACGCTCTGCAACAGAAGATTCCTTTGAGTCAATCTATTCTGCAACTAACCAGTGGATATGTTCTATTAGCTTCATCCTAGATGAGTATATCCAAAGACATAATCATCTAAGAAACATATTTTACTGTTCAGTGGGCTGCAGGTGGATTCTAGATGCCCCACCTCCCCTCCATGTTTTAGCCAGCAGCCTCTGAGTGATGAAAGAGGGTGTGAGAATGTGGAGGCACAGAAGGTGCTGATGAAGAGGGTAAGGGAAGGAGTGAGTCATTGTGCAATTAATAACACTTAAAAGATGTGTCTGGGATCAGTGCCACGTCTGCTGCCAGCCCAGCCAGCCTCTGCTGACAAGCGCTGTCATTCTGATGTCAGTTAGCCACCGGACACTAAAAATAAAAACCCAAAAGTCAAAAACCGTGTGAGCAATGCTGAGAGGCACCGGAGGTGTGAGTCACTGCAGAGAGTAGATGATTTATCTGAGCAGGGGAAGAAGACATGTATATAATGATGAGACAGACACCGTGTGCATGTGTACACTGTTGAGTGCAGCTGTGGGAGGTGTGGAGTGATGCACAAACACACCCTCACTCACACACAAATACCTGTGCTGCTGGGCGTGTGGCTCGTGCGTGGACAGAAGCTTGGCCGTGCATATCTGTTTCCTGTGCACTGACGAGGTCCAAATTCCTCAAAGTCCAGAGTGAGTTTGTGTTTGTGTGCACAAATGGTTTAGTTTGACTTTTTTTTTGTTTAGCTTTTTGAGTGAACTAAAAAACATTCATCCACAACTGTAAAGAAACAGCAAAAATACTTTTTTAACCCAACTCTGCTGTTTCCAAGGGCAAAAATCCTACAAAACCAATTTATAACTAATGTTACATATAATGTCAGACTAGAAAAAGTGATGAGACTTATGTAAATGAAATTTAAGGCTTTGTAAAGGAAACAAATGAACACATTATAAAACTTCTGAAGAACTGCAGATATCCTGTCAAGAAATAATGATTAAACTTGTAGCCTAAGAATGAAAAAAGGTTATTTTAACAAACACGCAGGACCTCGAAGGCTGACTTACAGTAACAGGCTGCAATAATACAGAAGTCTGGCTGCTCTGTGGAAGATTATAACATGAGAGAAACAAGAGAGAGTGAGAGCGCGAGAGAGAAAGCCGGACTGGCACGGCTCTAAAGTTCAGTGCTATAAATCTGAACCCAGTCTTGTTTCTTGGTCTCCCCCAGTGAATCAATACTAGGTAGGTCGCATGTGTTGAAGCCACCGTGAGCACGTGGCTGCATGCATCTGTGAATGTGCTGTGGAGGCTAAAACCACTTCCACCTGTGAAGTGTGCGTGTTTTCTTGTGCCCTCGTTGTTACATGTTGGTGTGCCTGTGTGTAGGTTTGCACGCACTTGTACATCCTGGTCCTTTTCACCAGCTGTTGAGCTCTATAACCTGCAGGGTGGCAAACCTGTACATGTGTGTCGAAACTCAATGGAAGGTCATCACGTGTGTTAAGCACCAGTCAGCAGCGACTCGTCGCCTTGTGTTTTAACTACAACAAAAGCCTTCCTCCTCCTGCTTCTTCTTCTTCTGTACTAAACAGGATATAAGTCAAACAAAATCACTGTCATCGTCAGATGTAGACAATAAACCTCTGTGCAATCTGTGGCAGTGTCCTGGATGCTAAACACATTATTCACTTCCTTGCAGTCATGTATAAAATGCAGGTGCACACACAGCTGTGTTATTTAATTGTATGACAACACTTACACTAACTTATTAAAACACTGGTATAATCTGCTACAGTAGAAGCTATGCTTCTCTATGGGTCCGTTTCAAACTAGCAGGTTAACCCACTTTACAGTGTTTTTCCAAAGAGGAGCTGGATAATTAGGTCGACATCACTACCACAAATGCACAGCGGGGCTAAAAATAATCTGGTTTTACTCTGTGACAACAGAATATGCAGGTTATACAAGTTATAAAGGTTATACATTTTCAGAAAGGTATTTACTGGGAACAGTTTTTTTTAACCTTTATTTAACCAGGACGTCCCATTGAGATTTCAAACTCTTTTACAAGGGAGACCTGGACAAAATGGTGGCTTTAACAATCACAGTCAAACAGCTGCGTTACCTTCTCCTACTGATGTTTTTGTACTTGGAAGGAAAAGTACATTATAAATAAAACCAACTGACACAGGTTCTTTATTCAAAGTCAAAAACATCTGTATTTTTATTATTACCTTCTGAAGCAGCCCTGCCTCCTTGAAATGACCTTTATACTGAACCAATTTATAGTTATGTTTAAAGGCATGTTCCCAGTTATGTTTAAAGTGAACATGGCACTACATTTATTAAAGCAGATCTCAGTCTTTCCCCGAGCCTAAACAAAAGTTTAATAATGCTGTAGTCAGTATCAATTATGTACTGCAAAACTGGGTATTTTGGTAGATAACAGATACATTGTCTGTAAATATTTTACTGACACGCTCCATGTCAACAGACTAGTGACTTGCCAAATATTTAACATTTCCTCTTTGTGTTAACAGAAAACAAAATCTGGTTTGCGATTACATTTCTTTCCAAATATATTTGGTGTCACAAACAGTTTTATATAAATATAATGTCTGGAAAATAATACTGTTACTAATTATAACTGTGGAGACTTTACAAACACATGTTATAGAAATTTAAATCTAGCAATGTAATATTATACTGGGATTCTGGCGATTAAACCAGCGTTCTGACTGTCCTTTCTTTTCTTCTGTTTTGTTTATCAATGCTGAATTAGATTCTACTGCACGAGGTATAAAGGTGTTAGGCCTTCAGTATGTCACTGTAATTTACTTGTTGTAGTTTTCCAGTATTTGCCGATAGTGTGAGGACTAAGTGGCCTTCCTATAGTTCACTGCTGGAAAAGTACACCGAGACCTGCAGAAATACTCAAAATACAAACGATACCTCTCCCTGACTGCATCATTGTGATGGTACACTAGTGAATTTTATAAACTCACAGGATGAAAATGTGTGTAAACTGACTGTTTAATGTCTAAAACTTCACATATCACTGGCTTTAGGATATCAGGGGGGCTCAGGCTGGTTCAGCACTGGCTAAACAGTAACTGTAGTGAATTTGTGGACGAGGAAAGAAAAATCCAACAGCATCCAGTCCTGATGGTTTACTGGTGTGAGTCTGACTATTCTGATTCAGGACTGAAGATAAAAGCCTGTCCATACACAAACCACCAGCTCAGAAGATGCTAATAAGAACATCACAAAACAAAAGTTAAATCTACTGCAGTTCTTTTGTTGTGTTGCTCTTTTAGCACAAGAGCTGCTTTGTAAAGAAAATACTTGATGTTAAAATGAGGCTGTCTTGAAAAAACTGGGTTCGATACAACAAAATAAATGACTCGACGGCAGAGAGAAGGGAGGAGGGGGCAAAAAGGAAAATCAATGCAGATATAACTGGATCTGAGCCCGGTGGGACAAACTGACAGGTGTGTGGGCATGTGTAAACAGGTGATGTGTATTACAACTGCTGAAGGTTGTGTGCTCGCTGTGTTTGTGTGTACAAGGCTCACTGGTTGATTGATTGGGTTGTCAGTCAGTGCAACAGGAGCTTTTGTTATGTAGTTGTTTATAAAATGACTGAAAAGAGAATGAGTGGGAGGGCAGATGGAGCGGGAAGGGTGGGTGAGGCAGGCCGAGGTCCCCCAGTTAAAAACTAAAATACAATACAATAAAAAAGCAAAAACAAAACACGAGAGCTCACCAAAGACAAGTCGGACAGGCGGACATCAGACCAGCAGCTAACAGGACCGACACGAACAGACGAGACGGAGGAGGAACGAAGGAAGGAGGAGAGGGACAGAGGAAGGAAAGGAAGCAGGCAAAGGTTGCGGGGACAGGGGAGGTGAGGGGGGTGAGGGATGCAGATGCTCCTCTACATATACTGACCTTCAGGTCCCTGTGCACTATGTCATGTTGGTGAATGTGATGGACACTTTCTAGAATCTGATGGATACAGTGACTGTGAAGACAAAACAGAGAGAGGAGGGACAGTGGGGGTGGAGGACGGGTGAAAGGAGAGACAGTGGAGATGTACAGGGAGGGATGAAGGTGGAGAAATGGAGAGGGTGACGGTGAGCAGAGAGGGCGGGGCCAGTGTCAGGTGAATAAGATGAAAGTAAAGATGAAGAAAATGGCAGGTTTGATTAAGTGACAGAAGAAATGAGGTGGAGACAGATAACAGGCAGCAGAGAGGAGGAGGAGGAGGAGGAGGAGAGAGCGTTGGAATGGGAGGGATGGGTGGATGAATGCAGGGGAGACAAAAACGTTTCGTTTTGCTTTTCTAAACATGATGAGACAAGAGCAGCTACAGCAGAACAACCTGCCAGACAAAAATCACAGCAACTCTAACAAAGGAGAGGAGAGAAGGAAACCAAAGGGGGAAAGTGACAGTGAAAGAGGACAGGAAGAG